AGCGCCTTCGTGTATAAAACCAAATTGCGATGAAAGAAAAAAATACAAACGAACACACAAAACTAGGTAAAAATTGAAGCCGATTTCTCACCTCTAGCGAGTGTCTTGAGGATGGTAAGAGACGAAAGAATTCTGACAGCAATATTTGGGCTATGAAAGTAAATGTCAACTTTCTGCTTATCGCTTTTCAAACCAACTCCTTCCTCTGAAATTTTTGACACCTGAAAAATAGCCATTGTTTTTAAAATAATCTCTAAAAGAACAGTTCACTCCATTTCGGGCGAAATAAATTTCTGTCAAACTACGTCCACACTGACTGTCCAAAATTAGACTCGAACGCAGCCGTCTGAAAGTAGACAAAACCGTCCGAAATTAGACAGAACTGTCCGAAATTGGACGGATAGATAGATAGATACTTTATTATAAACACCTTGCAGCCATAGGCTGAGTTACGGAATATTTACAAATGCAGATGGTAAAGAAAGAAGTATACTGAATATATTACAACTTCGTCATTAACAAAGAAGTAAAATTATCTACATCTTATAAATATGGCTAAAAATAAAACTCTTCTTCAAGCGCTCGGTTTTGCATATGGGGAGAGTGAAATCACTTTTGCGCCTCAGTGCGTATCTACAACTCTTCCTTTGGGGGAGGAGGCTGTGGAGTCTATGGGTGGCGTTACGGACTATCTCGTCAAACAGATTGGAACCGGAACCGGAAGTGAGAAGCCGTCCAAAATAGGACGCAACCAAATTCAACTTTATCGTTATTCATTCATTGATTATTCTTACGACCCAAGCAAGGAACACATCAAAAAGAGACCATTCAAATGGGGATTTTCTCTACCTGAGGTTTGTAAAGTTCTTCGCCAATGTGCCGCAGTGTGGACGCCAATGCTGTTCTCTGCAAAAATTAAACAAAAGAACAATTAAAGGGGAAATAGTGGATACACATTTAAGGTATAAGGTGCTAGTCCAATACATTCATTCAACGAAGGGAACGAGACGAAAAAAATCCTTTTCGGAGCATGTAATAATCCAATGAATTAAGATAGAACCAAGGAAAAATTGACGTCGTCCCTTCAGATTTCGCGATCCGATGGTCTACGACTGCGTCCACAAAGATTTTTGTTGGTAAGCCAGACCACACATGGTTTAAGTAAATTTAGAGAAAGCAACTTAAAGTCTTCAATTTTATATTAAAACACGCCATTGTGTTTGATGCGTTTGTAGGTACCTGCGAGCCTTGCACTGTCTGCTCCATGTACACAACACTCCAGTAGGTGAACTGTAAGCAGGGCTGTTGTAGACGTGGATTAACACTTGGCAGCATACTAAGAATGTCAGACATGCCAGGTAAAATCTGCATTGCAAAAAAAAAAAAAAAAAACGAAAAAATAACAATTATAATAACTAGTTCGTTCTGTGAATTTGACGTTAATTGAGAAGGAGGTCTGGGTAAAGAAACAATCTTTTGAAAGTTTTGTAACAAGGAAACCAAAATTCTACAAGTTTTGAACACACGCGTTAAGTTAAGATTTTTTTAAATTCTTCCCTGCAAAGACCTGTGGACTCCCATCTTCTTCCTGTGGACCGAAGCCAATGAAAATCAATCAAGCTGACTTACTTTCAAACATTTTTCATGAACCAGAGACGATGGAAAGTCCAGTTGCTGTTCTTGTAGCCTTCCTTGGGGTGAGTCCTGAAAAGTTGGCATCTTCTGAAGATGAACTTCTGAAGTCCAATCCAACAATACAGCCAGCACTTCAAATATACCAGAAAAATTAACCTGAAAATAAAAAAATGAATCCTTTCCACTTTCCAGATAAGATTTACTTATTCATTCAAAAAAAATTTTGAAACAAAATGATCGTTTTAAAAAAAATCAGGCCTTGTGGTAAGTACAAGGAAAAACGACGATATTATTATTTAAAATTGACATCATAACTTTTCACCTTGTTTTGAGAAAAAGACACTGACTTGGTCACTGTCTCTGAAATAAATAAATAAATACAGATCATTGATTTAAACTATTTGTTATAAGAAAAGGAAAACCAAGAGATGTCATTAACTAATGCTATTGCTCAAATAGTGCTTTACTGCGAAGGATCGTGCATATATACGTAAATAATTAGTGTGTTGGACTCCAGGTCAACAGGTCTAGGATCATGACTTGGCTGGGTCAATAGGTTGTGCTCTTGAACAAAACACTTTATTTTCACAGCGCCTCTCTCCACCCAGGGGTGAAAATGGATACTGGCAAATTGTCAGGAAAGCCCAATGAAATTCTTGCAGGTAACCCTGCAATGGACTGGCATCCAATCCAGGGGTGATAGTCCTAGTTGCTCCATGCTAAGGAAGCTGCAATAACCTATGGCTGGGTGGGCCACTTGCCCCAAGTACAGACTTTTTTTTTTATCTATAGACTGATGCTAGTATGTCACTTGCATCTCATCTCCAGGAAAAATACTGGGTACTAGAAAGGGAGAATCATTGCAAAGTAAAATTTTCACGAAAACCCATTTATGGACTATCTCCTGCATGTATTTTGGAATATTCATAAAATTGGGAAATAGAAAAAAGAACATACACTGGCACTGGTAGAAGAAAATGCAGCTATCAGAGATAAGGATGTATTTCATGTTTATATTTTGATGTGGATTTCTTATTCCAGTATCCTGCTTTGAGGGCGGCGATTCATTGTTAGGAAATGTTAAAAAATTTTCTACCATAACTTATACAAGACTGCTTGAATATGGGTATTGTAGGAATGTACCATTTTTTCCATGCAAAGTAAGTTTGTTATTTCTTTCTTTTTCCATCTCTCTATCCTCTGGCTTAGAATTCCTCTGCAAAAATTCATTCTTTCTCTAAATGCAAGATTAAGAAAAATATATAACAATTATATAAATATACATTTTCATTGACAATGGGCAAAAAAAGACTTCCTAATCAAATAGTCTCAGCTCAGATTTCCCCAAAAGGAACTAATTAATGTAAAAATAATTGCTATTTACCTCCAGATTTGCCAGTCTGTGTTGGACACTCAGAGCTTGTGTCTCAAGCTTTTTGTTTTGTATTTCGAGGTCAGAAATCTAGGTTGATGCAATAACAGGAAATAATGACAGTTGAACGCAGGATTCTTGCACAGCAGCCAGGGTGATGGGAAAAAAACCACCACCAGTGGAACAAATTGGGGTTAAATTGTCAAAAACAGTCCACCAATTTAAAATTTGTTGGTGTAAATGGATATGAAATATGCACATGTATCATGGGATAAAACAACAGGTTACTCGAATTTTGTGCATCTTGACATATTGGAATGCCTTGCATGTTGCAATTGCCAAAGGAATATTTTCTGCATAACCCCCTTGAAACTCCTGCAAACAAAACAGCACTTGATCGATGATAATAGTAGCAACTGTGTTCGAACGTTAAACTGTCCAAAAATGGAATACTCAGGAAATTCAAACATCAAAATTTCTTGTGCATAATTTTGTTTCCAGCTTTTAAACATTCTGTTCTTTTACCAATTCTTCAACAGCTTCTCTTCATATTTCAAGAAATTTTTAAATTATTCCTAATTTATAATTTTCATCTTTTTAATTACCTGTTTCTTTAGTGAGTCATTTGCACTTTTTATTGTATCAAATGACTCTTTAATCCTCTTGAGTTCCTTTGTTTTCTTGTGGATAATTTCTTCAAGCTCCCCAAGCTTTTGTTCATATTCCTAGAGATTGTTTTACATAACAAAATTTTTTCTTCTCACATCAATATTGAAGAACTGCACTTCCTTGATTAAGCTCCTATAATTTTTCTTATTTTTAAAGCAATCAACAAATAGATTTCATATTGCCGTGCATCTGTTCAAGATAGCTGTAGAACACAGCTGATGATAACAAAATGTGGTACGAACAAAAACAAATGGTGCAGGTGCCTGTGTCGCTGAGTGACAATCTTACCACAGTATGATGTCTTCTGTGACGTATTACTTAACAGACCCATCGCAGCATGGAATTCATTTGTTTTATGTCATGAAATGGTGATCAATGTAATGTATGCACCTGTCCTCCAATAGACCATAAGCATGAACCAATCAAAATGCTTATCACACTGTCTAATCAAAGATGACACTCAAACCAGCCATTGACACAGCATGAAGACCTCACCTCAACTATAGCTTGGCAGCGATTCTCTACTTCCTGAGTCACCACTTTGTCAATAATAATGTCAGTTGTGTGGCTGAGTTTTTCTGCATCTCGTAAGGCCCTCTCCCTTTCACGCAACTGAACTTCACGCTTATGGAGAGCTTCACTTTCTTTCTGTTCACAAAAAAATGAAAAAAATATTCTATTAAGTAAAAGATGACATTATTCAGTGAACTTCACAGACTTACAATGCACATGTACTCAGAGAAAAAAGTGAGTGCTTCCACTAGGAGTGGAACTGATGACTTTCCACTGAGTACTTCAAACACTCTACCATGACTTGTGTTGTCACACAACACTCTTGCTTTGCTTGTTAACTAATATCTTGAAAAAAGGTTAGATCACAAACACAAAGCCCTGAAAGCACAAGACAAAACATACATACTGAAGCCCCATTTTTAAAAGATTGGCCCCAGTCCATAAACCCCGGACACATTCAGAGTTTTTCTCCCTGAAGAATCATATATGAGTGCTGCCAGAGCTCAACACTAACGGTAGCCAACTAGCCACAGACTAGTAGAAATTCAGTTTTGGCTAGTGGTTTTTTATTTCCACTAGCCAGTTTGGCCAGTAAACAAACTGAAATTGTTGTAACATCTAAATTGTCACTATTAACCACTTGGCTACTAAGTTGAAAAGTTAGTGTTGAGCCCTGGTTGTAACATTTCAAGGGAAACCCTGCAAAATGTTTCAACAGACGAGCTTAACCTGCTCATCCCATCGTAAATGTTCTTCCTGAACCCCTTTAACTCCCATGAATGACCAAGACAGATTTTCTCTTTACAATATCAATATAATATAAAGCAGACAAGTGTTGAGAATAAAGAAAAATATCAATTAGGGGATTCAAGGCTGTGCTCTAAGGAAAATTGAATGGAGTCCAGTGCTCTGAAACTGTGAAATTCAGGGTGCCCAGCATATGCTTTTTATGAAAAAACTAAAATTCCTGAATCACCCAAGAACAAAACTAAGGCACCAGGGGCCACTGGGTGCTGCTAAACTACAGCCTTGGGATTATTAGTTGATCCCGTACCAACTTCTCCAAACTTGCATCATAAGAATTGTATAGCAGACAGTAAGGAGAATTGCTAAGAAGATCTTGGGAAATGAAAGGGTTCACACCCAAGAGTGACTACAGCTGTACACTGTACCTTCTAATTCTCCTAACAATATCACTCTTGAATCAGTCACATTAATGTCATGAGAATAAAGGAATTGATCACCAACTTAAAAAAGCTCTTGATTGATATACAAATTGTCCTTTCAGTACCATGGGAAATGTACAGATAAAAGTATGGAGAAAAAGCATACTGTTTTCAGCAGTAGGGCAACTGGTTTTCACAGGTCGGCAAAACTTTTTGACCTGAACTTCTTTATATGATAAACTTTCCTACAGATCATCAAACCAGGTGGGCAAAACCGTCCTCACAACTGGTCAATTTGCCCGGTGCCCAGGCCCTTAATGAAACCCCTGCTGATGATTGGTTGTAAAGGGTTAATGGTAACAAACTAGGATAGAAATACATGTAATTGTGCAAGTTTGCTGCCAGGCATGCGTCTACACTCAAGATTTCAAGGAGAAGTATGATTTTTAATTTAGTAATTCCCATCTTTGTAAAAACTGGTTTGTACCAACCTGCAGCATTAAGTTAATCTTGTTCAGTTCTCTGTGAACCCTCCTCGCATTTTCTGTCTCTAAATGATGCTGTACCTTAAGTAAAATAATTTCTGTTAATAACCATCTAAAGTATCTGCCATCCAAGATCAGTTGCAAGTTAGAGATTCCAAAAGTACTGACTTTATGGGAAAATTCATTACTTGCTTCAGGAATGTCGCATTAAATTGCATGTATGAATCGCTTCACAATTTGTGCCATATAAGTTTTCAAGTGCAATTTAATGAGGGATTCATGAGTTAAATAATGGATTTTCCTTGAATCACATAATTGAATAAAAATAAGAAAAAGAAAAGAAAACAGCATTATTTTTAGTTGTTCTGTATATGTAGATATCAAACAAAATCACTTGGCCTCGTTTTCAGCTCACAATTCCATGCTAAATACCTCACTTCATTAACCAATCAGAGTGCCAGATTTTATTCAATGATGTGATTCTAATAAAAATTAAAATTCTGGATCATAGGTTGCGTAAGGTATTACAAAGTCAACTGCGCATACAACTTACATCTTTATCATATGATGTCGACGTTAGTCTTTGTCTTGCATTAGAACTTGGAGACTTCATGTGAGCTGATGAATAATCTTCATTGTCTAATGTTTAAAAAATCAAAGCCAATGCGATGTTATTCTGTTGGGAAAATTAATGCTGAGAGTGCAAGTACACTTCATTGATCAGAACATGAAGATGATAACTCCTCACAAAAGTTGTAAGGTCAGACTTCTTGATTACCTCAAAATCAACACAGTAAATAAATAAACACAATTTAAGTAAAACTAAAGAAAGCATGACCCCCTGCACATTGAAACATGACCTGTCATCCTATGTTTAAGAATAGATCAATTACAAGGTTATTGTAAAGCAGAAATATGATCCTTGTAGCATGCAAAAATGTGCAAAGTTTAATCTTAAGAAAGCAGGATTTACATAGGTAAATAGGGTAGAACAAAGCATTATGCTCACATTCGAATTAAGGCGTTCACTAGAAAGGAAACTATGTGCCTTCCCTCATATATCTAATCATGTAAAAACTAGCCACCAATGTGTACATAAGCACTTTGATTTAGCTAGATGTAATCAGGACTACAGTGTGTGCGAGTCTCTCTTTGTTGAGGACGCAAAAACCGGCCAAGTCTAAAGTAAAACAAGCAGTCAGCAATTATTTGTTGGCCACGAAACCTTCCCTGTTGTAACATAATGTATCTGTTTCAACATAGTTTATCTCTCCTAGAACTGTTAGTAAGAACTAGTATGTTATTCATAAAAACATCAAATTTTAATTTATTGATTTAAAGAATAATAAATTCAAGCTTTGATGCATTTTACATCATTTTTGTGCTTATTTTTTTAATATCTGTTTTAAAAAAATTCCACATTGCTGTGTGTCTTTTCAGTAGATCACAAATGATGTCAGAAAGGGGCAAGAACAAGAGAGTGCCACACAAAGCGTAGACAAGTGTGTCACTGATACTCTTATAATATTCTTCTGTGATAATGCAATTCAAGACTTTTTATTGGCTTAGCCATTATGGTATATCAGCCAATATACCATAATCTACAAATATGGCAAGCGTACGTGTCAGCTTAAAATTAAATGGGAGCTAAAAATTTAATAAAATTTAATAACTTAATATAACGTTTTTAATAAAACAATTATTCCACTCACTCTTGTTGGATATGAGATGATTATAGCCAACTCGGCGCTACGCACCTCGTTGGCTATCTATCATCTCATATCCAATGCACGCTCGTGGAATATTTGTTAAATGTAATAGAAAAGTAAAATTTTGGTAATGGTGATGTCATTTATGCACCTGTCCTTTGACAGATCATAGGTGAAAAGCTATGAAAAAGTATTTAGAATTCAGTCAACTTATCACAAAAGCTAATCAAAGTTCTTGCAACAATTCATTTCATCTATACCAAAAGTCACGAATAAATAGTAGAATAAATATTAGAATGCAGTATTTGTAGCGAGCTAGTAGTACTAGCTCGTATTGTAGTACTAGCTAGTACTTGCACAATTCATTTCATCTATACCAAAAGTCACGAATAAATAGTAGAATAAATATTAGAATGCAGTATTTGTAGTGAGCTAGTAGTACTAGCTCGTACTGTAGTACTCGCTAGTATTACTTTGCTAGTATTACTTTGCTAGTATTACTTTTAGTTAATACTTTGTGATAAGTATTTTTAATTAGTTCTTAGATTCAGATTTAGCTTTAGTTATTCGTTGCTATTTGTAATTTATCTTTGTATTAGTATTTAACTTAAGAGGACCCTCCTGTAAACCACTTTTGTGACGTTGGTTTCCTCATTGAAGATTATAGTATATATAATGCAAGCCACAAACCATCCACATCATCTTCAGTTTCAGAAGTTTCCGTCACAGTCTCAGGTACCACATCCCCACCCTCAGCTAATGAACGCTCCAGTTGTTTGGAGCCCAAACGCACAATTTCATACATAGCTTTCAGAGCTTTATTGTACTGCCTCCTCTCGGAACTTGAGATACCAGAGGTTGCATCCCCGGCAGAGTGGGGTGGAGTGAAAAGATTTTGGTCTGGGGAGGGAGGACCGGGTTTCTCATCTGCAGGAGAGAACAAGCCATCCATTCTGAATGTATCATAATAACATATGTTAACGACTGGATAAGAGGAACGAATTAAGGAAATTTGTGTCATCATGATCATTTTTAACACCAGCCTTGCAAACAAACATTAAAAATACCTTTTTTTCTTCATTGGTCATTATATATAATTACAGAAAGATTTCATTTTGTCGTTTGTTTCTTCAGTGAAAGATAACAATTAACGTTCAAATATAAATACTGTCCATTTCGCAGTATTGGAACCATGTACACTTTTTACAAACGATTTAAGCCTAATTTACTTCTTACCTCTGAGCATGAGGAACTGGAGAACGAACGATGCCCAAGGATCTCAAAAAGGTTTACATGAGAGAGAGCCCATTTTCAAAGAATGGGCGGTGAGAAACTAACACAAGTCTCACACAAATCAAATATGGCGGCAAAACAAAACTGAGTGACCAGGCCAGATAACAACACGCAAAAGACGCGCGCGCAATGCGAGACCGCGCCGAGTCGTCGATGTTTTTTGAAGTGTATTCCCTTATTTCCAACTAATATTGACGGCAACTACGAGCTCGGGATTGCGAAACGTACTGCCGCAGCTTTTTTGAGTAACGCTCTCCCAAAGGAGGGTGGACTACTATTTGAAAAAGAAAAAACATAAAAATATCAATATGAGAACAGCTACCACAGAAATACATTTGAACAAGTGAGTTTCCAGCGCGGAAACGTCGCGCGTACCTCCTCAAATGAGGGCATTTTGAAGTCACAATTTCCTTTAGTGTCTCTCGGTTACCATTTGTCTTAACAGCCGTTCCTTCGGCCCTCACACACTGAAGCTGTATCACAGATACCAGTGTTAGCCTTTACTGGGGTGGTTACATTTGGCTAAGATCATAAAGAGGAAGCCTCGTCGCTAACATGTGGCGACTCCTCCGCTAACTGCGCAAGTCAAAAAATTTAAATTTTTTTGAAATGTTGGCCAACACAGAGCTAATAAAGTAATGGTTCTCGAGCTTTGAGGGTGGGTTAGTGCGTCCACATTCCCCAATGTTGCCCATCTTTGCCTGCTTAAATCTCCCGAGGTAACGGATGCGAGGAGTCTTTAAGCACTCTACTATAATAGTGCTTACTTCCGATTCTCCTGTTCTTTCATCTTCTTTGCACGTCATTTATCGAAAGTTATCGACAGTTGCGGTTTTCTTCGCGATAGAAAATGGTTGAGGAGTTGGAAAAGATGGCAGAGAAGTACTTCCCCTGGCTTACCCTCTCCCGTGGATATCTCGCGAGATCCCGAGATCACACGTTCCTGACCATCAGTGGGGTGTTAAATGAAAAAAGTACGCCATTTCCTTGTACAAAATCGTTCTATTATTCATGGATAAACCTTCCTATTTTAGGAGGCTAAAGTTAAAACAACCTCTTACTTGCACGCGTTGTTTCCTTAAATTTATAGTACTCTGAATCGCTCCATAATTATAGACATTAAAGGAAATTTTCTTTAAAAAAAAACTGCGCAGAATGTCTTCTGTACAAAAATAGAAAAAACTCTGCATGATATATTATACGATATGAAATCTTTTGTAGGGTGAATCTACCGCAAAACCTACAGAAGTAAATGTCTGCTGAAACTTTTAAACACACAACGATTTCTCGCATCAAACAGCTCTTTAAATCACTGTCAGGTTCAATCATAAAAAGTTCTCCATAAGAATAAAAACGAGGATATTAATTTGAATTTCCTTCACTGTAAAAAAAAACATAAGACGACCAAATTGGAAGAGAAGCCTTTTAGAGCGCAAGGTTATAATGCGCCATCTTTACAAAATATATTCGTTATACATCGATTTCTAAATTAGATTCATTGTCTGATATGGACGGCGAATGAGTTAAGTCTGAGTTCGATCCATCGTGCGAGTCTCTGCGTAAGTGCAGTACAGGTACGTGCATCGAAGACGGCCGCGACCCGGACTTAGGCGTGGTCCCCGTGGGAGAAAACGCCGGGGTTGATGCTCCTGTGTCCAAAGGCGAAACTGAAGGAGAACGAGTTACTAGGGGTGTAATAGCTGGAGTAAAGTTCGGCGAGAATGCAGGGGAAGTGTACCGTGTGGAAGGAGGACTAATGGGTGAACGTGGGAGTGAAGACACCGAAGAAAGCATGTCTGTTGTAACCACTCCTGCTTGTGGGTTTCTGGAATCACGACTCGAAGGCAAGCTTAAACTCAAAGTTTTCTTTGGAGGCGCATCGTCCTTCATTTTTCCAATTTCAAGAAAAACATCCGCCAACGGCTGGAACTGCGGGCCCCAGTCCAGGAGGTAATCCCAGTTGTAGCTTCCTGTCAACTCTTCCCGACTGCCCACAATCGAGCTCAACGATCCACCGTAGGAAGGATGATCGTGTCCTTCTTCAACAAACGGTCGCATCCCGTCAATAATCGATTCATCTTCGTCGGCATCAACTTCTGCCAGCTTTGCGTAAAGCAAATTGCTGACATCAACTCCGCCGTCGGCCTCTCCGCCTCCTTCCTCGCCAAAAACGTGGAGACTTTCTTGACTTCCGAGCCGCGCCAGCAACTTTTCGATCTTGTCCGAGTGTTTGTCGATCGTCAGACCTTCCCCTTGCATCATGCTACTTGCGTCGCTGATCGTGAGTTGAGAAACTTGATCAGAATCCTGTTGAATTCCCGAGTCAGGTCCCACAACAGTTTTGACATAATTTTCGGAGTGCAGACTTCCAATATCTCCGTTTACGATCACCGGGTGACGCCTGTCTTCAAAATCAACGCCTTCGGAAGACCCTCGGCCGCTCGACGCGCTATTTGGCGTATCCGAAGAGTCGGTTCCACAAGCCGGCGAGTCACTCGGGCCGTTCAGTGGCGAACCTTCCTGAGAGACACCGCGAGGCGTTGAAACATTTTCTATGGATGAATCCACGTGGTTGATATTTCCATTTGGAGCTGAATATACCGTAATCTCATCGAATGAACCATCATAACGCAACGGAGGATGCTGACGACCTCTTTTATTCTTCCTTTTCCGTAAAATAATGGCAGCCATGACGATGAAAGCAATCAAAATTACCAATACCAAGATTGCTAAGCCAATAATAATGTAGGTATTTTTGGAGATTCCCTCGTCATCGCCATTACCTCTTTGTCCCGTAGATGCACATCCGGCGCAAGCAAAATCAATTCCGAACTCTACCGATGCGAGCCCCTTGAACGACTTTGGCTGGCCACTATCTGCTTGCACGCGAAGCTTAACCTTTGTCACGTCGATCTCTCTACGAACCCTCCGTGACTCGATCGATACGTCATCGGTTTCTTCAACACTCTTTCGTTTTCTCCGTTTGCTGCTCACTTCACTAAGCGACTTGTTGACGAAGATAATTCCAGTGGTTTCATTGATCGCAAACCCATCTTCACTGACGAAGTCGAAGGAGTAACGCAGGCGCCCATCTTCACCGCCATCTTCGTCTGATGCTGCAACCTGGCCCACAACGTAACCAATTTTAGCGTTTCCAGGAACTTCTTCGAACTCATAGCTCGAATTTTCAAATATGGGTTCAAATTCGTCCATGCTCTTGATGTTCACTGTTAAGTTTACCGTATTATCCAGAGGAGGTTTTCCTTTATCCACAGCTTTGACCAGTAGCCAGTAAAGATTACGAGCTTCGTAATCAAAAGTGGCGTTAGTTCTAAGCTCCCCACTGCCACTATCGATGATAAACAGGCCTTGTCCACTCCCTCCAATGATGCTGTAAACAACGACTTTGTTGTTACCTGAATCTCTGTCTCTCGCAATAAGTTCGTAAACTAATGTTCCGACGGGGGAATTTTCTTCCACTCCGACTTCTTCGGGATGCAGTATGTGGAATTCGGGTTTATTATCGTTCACGTCGCCTACCTTGATACGCACAGATGCAAGCATTGTCTCTGGTTTGGAACCTAAAAAAGTTCAAAAACAAAATACAAAACAAAGTGGTTTGAGACTCTCTCAACCGTGAGATATATATCCGAGCTTAAAATTTTCTTTAAGTATTGTGACTGTTATATTTCACCAATCTTCTCTTCCCCCCTCCCTCTCCCCTCCCCTTCCCGTCCCTCCACCCTCCTCCCTCCCCTCCCCCTTCCTCTTTCTATAGCGCGTTCTTCTCTATATACGCGCGGAGCGCGTGATGTGATAATTTGGCCAATCACGTCCACAGATTTTGAACTTGGTATTGGAAGTTGATGTAAACACTTTCGTGTACTCTTGTTTTTCTCAGTTGAGTCTTTTTTTGTGTCTCGCGAATTTGTCACTTGTTTGGCTTTGGAATTAAGATCTTTCAAAGTGATTGTTTAAAGCTAATTCAACACTTTCACTACGGTACGTTACCAAGACAGAATTTCTCCTTACAATATCACGCAGACAAATGATAAGAATAAAGAAAAATATATATTAAGGGATTATTGGCTGATCTAATACCAAATTCTCCGTGATAACCTCACAAGAATTGTAAGACAATTAGTAGAAAGGGAGTTAATTAGATCTTAGCTTTGGCCTCTTTTTGCTCAACTGATCACCTTTAATAAACTAGGCCAAATAATTGGCAAGGTTTTACTTCCAGCGCGTTTTTTTTCTTTAATGGCCAGGTGAAGTTACAAATTTGATCTCTCCTACGAGACTTATCATTCAAACCTAAAAAAATTGGATGATTTCGACATTCTTACCTTCATCACTGGCTTGTATCGACAGCATATGTTCCTTGATGCTCTCGTGGTCCAAACTTTTAATCGTAACAATTTCGCCAGTCCTACTGTTAATTCTAAAGGACTGCTTGTCGTTTCCTGAAAGGATGGAAAACACCAGCCGTCCATTGGTTCCAGAGTCTTTATCCGTCGCATTTACTCGAAGAATAGTCGTTCCAATCGATATATTTTCGTAGACTTCTTTAACATATTCCGTCGGATCAAAGACTGGCGGATTGTCATTAACATCAGTGATAGTAATGTTCACCTCCACCACGACACTATTATTTGTGCTTTCATCCAGCGCTTCAACACCCATTAAGTAATTCTTTTCCGATTCATAATCCAAGCCAAATTTGTTCACTTTGATGATTCCATTTCGGAGTCCGATCCGGAAGAGCCCTTCCGAGTTTCCAAATTTAAACTTGTAACTTATCTTGGCCACATTCATTCCTGAATCATCGGCGGCAGAGACTGTCAGAACCGTAGTGCCCGGTGAAGTGCCTTCGGCAATGCTCGCCCTATAGACCGGCTCCTTGAATATTGGTTTTCGGTTGATTCGGATCTGCACCGTTACGAAAGCACGCTGTTGAGGCACCCCTCGGTCTGTGGCTGAAACCACGACGAAGTAAAGCGAATCTCGATTACTAGTTTCGATCTTTTTCGCCGTGTAGATAACACCGGAGGTGGCGTTTAGACGGAACACGTCGAGAGAGGTCACGAACGCGTATGTAAGTTCTCTGTTGGAGCCATCGTCTCTGTCTTCAGCGCTGACTTTTAAGATGGACGTACCTTGAGCTGTTTCCTCCGACAATGTCGCTTGATAGGAGCTTTCTAAGAACTTAGGAGCATTGTCGTTCACATCTTTTACATTAACAGTCACTGTGGTGTGGGACTTGTAACGGCCATCGCTGCAAGTCACATTGAGCTCGTATGATGTGTTACGCTCATAATCTAGGGACTCCAACAAGGTAATATCTCCTGTTAGCTGATCGATGCGAAACACATCATAACTAGTCTTGTCGTTGCCAAAAGAATACATCAACTTTGGATGTTTGTCCTTGTCAGTGGCAACCACGCGCTTCACGAGGGACCCGACCCTTAGGTCTTCTTTAACATCCACTAAATATGGCCCTGAGAATGCTGGGATGTTATCGTTGACATCGACAATGTTGACAACCACGTGGCTTACGCTGGATCTAGAGGGAGTTCCCTTGTCTGTCGCGTTGACAACCAAATCGTAAACTGCGTGCTTTTCGCGATCAAGAAAGCCTTTGGTAGTAAGTACACCAAGCTGTGCATCAATGCCAAACTTATCATCCACGTTCCCAAAAATGATCTTGTAGGTCACTTCCTGGTTTTTCCCAGAATCCTTGTCTGTTGTAGTAAGGCTAGCAACAGACCTTGATGTAAAACTGCTGGACTGTAATCCATCATCCTCTAACAATTGAACCGAAATATTTGCGGGATAAAAGACTGGCTTGTTGTCGTTTACATCTGTTAGGTTCACGTAAAGTGTTAAGTAATCATTTCTTGACGGTTGACTCTTTCGTGACACAATGATGCGAAGGCGGAAATCACGCAATCTTTCGAAGTCGAGCTGGGCCGGGTTCTGCACTGTCACAATGCCGGTCTGGGAGTTGATAAGGAAAGCGTTACCGCTATTACCATCGACAATGCTGTACACCACATCGTTCGATCGATTTGCCAGTACTCGGGCCACTTCGCGACTCTTCGGGCTGTTCTCGGGGAGGGAAACGAACGCTGGCGTATTGTTTACGAACATTGGTTGGTTGGGCGAGACGCTTCCAACTGTAATCTCCACAATACCTCTTCCGGTCAGGTTGCCGCCGTCATCAGCAATAATGTTCAAAACGTAAACTTTATCGGGTATACTAGACACACCTTGTTTAACTCTCACCACTCCACTGTTACTTTCCAGTTGAAAGAACGGGTGCGAACTGTTAGCGAGCCTATAGGTCATATGGGTTATTGAGATAGAATCTTTGTCTTTAGCGCGCACTGTCACTAAGCCATTTTGTGGAGGAGAGGAACCCGATGAGATAGTAGCTTCGTAAGGTATCACATCAAACACAGGGGCGTGGTTATTCTCATCGATGATTGACACCGTCACTCCAACTGATGTCTCTCTGGGTGCCACTCCTTTATCCGTTGCCCGGCAGAGAAAGTTGTAAACTGCCTTAATATCGTAGTCAAATTCTTGCAAGGTGTACAGAGTTCCTGTTTTGGAATCGATACGAAAAATACCCAGCGCTTCATTACTTAGAGAAAACGCGATTTCTCCATTCTTTCCTGAGTCACTGTCAGTGGCTTGTACGCGGAGAATAGAAGTGCCGATTTTGGTGAGTTCCCGGATATTCACGCTGTAGGAACTGTTCACAAACTTTGGCGAGTTGTCATTTTTGTCGCCAACAAAAATTGTCACGTAAATGCTGGCGTTATAAAACGGAACGACGACATTTCTTGCCTCTATGACTAAATCGTAGCGGGATTTACTTTCTCTATCGAGCCCAGCTGTTGTCGAAAGTACACCTGTAAACTCTCCGACTGAAAACTTCGCATCTTCATTACCGTGCTGGATAATGTAGCGTAGGCGACCATTCTGTCCAATATCCGGGTCTTGGGCTCTCAAGGTGTGAAAATCGAAAGGGGGACTGTGCTCCAAAACAGTCAAATTAAGACGAGAGGGAATGAAAATGGGCCTGTGGTCGTTCACGTCCAGAACTTTAATCTTGACTGTGCAGGTTCCTACACGACGAGGATACACATTGTCCATTGCGTAAACAGTAAGGGTGTATTCGTCTTTTTCCTCGCGATCCAGCGTCGAATGTGTATAAATCACTCCACTGCTCCCATTGATTGCGAACTTTTGATTCACATTTCCCCTGGGAATGCTGTAGGTCAGAGCACCGTTTTCCCCACTATCGAGGTCGTAGGCGCTGACCGCCATCACTGGGGTACCCACGGGCTGGTTTTCGCTCACGTTTCCAAGGAACAAGCTCTGGTTAAATTCCGGTGCATTATCATTAACATCGACAACGAAAACAGTCAGAAGCTGGAAGGAGGACTGGGGAGGAGTACCTCCATCTGTGACAGAAATATTAAGAACATACTTAGGCATGGTCTCGTGGTCCAAAGTTCCCAATAACTCGAGCAGCCCGGTGTCCGCATTCAGAGCAAACTTTTTGAAGCTATCTCCATTCTCATCGTGCTCTATTTTGTATTTCACTTTACCATTGCTGCCTAGGTCGTCATCAATGGCGGTGATTGTGATGATGGGGTAGCGAAAGCCTTCGTCTTCCATCACAAACGTCTCGTTTGGTGACACAAAAATGGGCTTGTTATCATTGACGTCGCTCACGATGATGAAAATCGTCAAGGTGCTCGATAAACGCTCGGATTCCGTAAAGGCTTGATCGGTGGCTCGGATGTTTAAAGTATACTCGTCGACAGCCTCACGATCGATTCTTCCGATGGTCTGAACGACGCCCGTCGACGGGTCAACTTTAAACTTCGCGGGCCCTGGCGACTGAGAATCGATTGAATATCGAATCCAGCTGTTCTGACCCGAGTCGTAGTCATGAGCTTTAATGGTGGTGACGTTAGAGTTTAGAGGTACGCCTTCCCGTAACTGCACGGTCACAGGGTTCATCTCAAACGTGGGTCTGTTGTCGTTCGAATCGAGCACGTACACTGTCACATAAAGGAAGCTGCTTTGACTGTTCTGACCCCGATCACGTGCTACAATCCTGAGTTGATACTTGCTCTTTTTCTCGAAGTCCAGTAGTTTGCGAAGAGTGATAACACCAGAAGTTTCGTTGATTTCGAACACCTTTCCCCCGTTTCCTTGATCGATGGTGTAACGCACTTTGCCGTTGTTTCCGGTATCCTTATCTTTAGCTGTCACGGTTGTCACGACAGTCCCGATTGCCTGTTTCTCGGGTATATTTACAAAGATGCTGTTGTTTACAAAGCGAGGTGGGTTGTCGTTCACATCGAGCACATGAATCGTGACGAACACGACGTGGGATTGATTGGGATTTCCGTGGTCTTTAGCCCCGATGCTTAAAGTATAACGATCGTGTTTCTCACGGTCTAACCGAGCTGTAGTAGTGATAACACCAGTTCTAGCATCTATGGTAAACACACCGGGATTACTGGCAAAGAAATAGGTAATCATACCATTGGAGCCGGCGTCCGGATCAGAGGCTTCCACAGTTAGGACAGGGGAGTTCACAGGGATGTCTTCTGAAACAGTTTTCTCGTAAAACGGTTTCTTGAAGGTGGGAGCGTTATCGTTTATATCTTGAACCGTGACAGTCACGCTAGCATGACCTGTTCTTGGACTCGCGCCGTGGTCGTTCGCTTTCACCGTAAGAGTGTACGAAGAACGCTGTTCTCGATTTAAAACTTGGTTAGTTCTTATGATGCCTGTGTTGTGATCAATTGCAAACTCGAGGCTTGGAGGCTCGAAAGTGTACGAAATTTTCGCATTGGCACCAGCATCTTTGTCTGAGGCAGGGACCTGACCGACAAATGTTCTGTTTGGTTGGTTCTCATCCACAGAGAAAATGTACGATTGTTGAGTAAACTTGGGATTGTTGTCATTAATATCGTCAACGTACACTACCACATCAGCTGTTGAACTTTTGGGAATATGTCCTTTGTCTGTGGCGACCACTGTAAACCGATAAACTTCTTGTTGCTCTCTGTCTAACTGTCTGGTAATGTAGAGCCATCCATTGGACCTTAAGCCAAACATACTGGTGTCCACACCTGACTGGAAGCTGTACGAGATTCGTGCATTGTTACCCGAGTCGGCATCAGTGGCCGACACATTTAGGATGTTAGTCCCAGCTGAAGTAAGTTCGTCGACATGTGTAGAGTAGGACGTGTTGGAAAATTTGGGAGTATGGTCATTTACGTCTACGACAGTTACTCTAAAGGTAGCTGTTGAATTTAAAGGCGGGGATCCACCATCTTCTGCCAAAACTTTAATAAAATACAACCTTGGACCTTCAAAGTCGATAGAGTGAGTCACTGTCAATGCACCTGTGCTTGAATTCACCTGAAAGGTACTGTTAGGGTTGGACAGAAAAGTGTACCTTACACGACCAAACAAACCACTGTCAGGATCTTGTGCAGTAACATTGTAGAAGACTTCTCCAACTTTGGTGTCTTCCAAAATGTTGACATCAATAACACTGCTTTCAAATGAAGGGGCATTATCATTAAGATCATTCACTGCTACACTAACATTTGCAAAGCCATAGAGAGGTGGTGTGCCACCATCCTTTGCCTGAATAGTAAGCAACAACTGTGGACTTCTTTCATGGTCAATATTGTTTTGGGTGAATATTGTTCCAGTTGAGTTAATTGTAAAGACATTGTAGATGTCACCACCACTGATTGAATAGTAAATGTCAGCATTTGTCCCCAAGTCTTTACTTGAAGCATACACAGAACCTAACAGTGTGTTGACATCAGAGTTTTCATAAATGGTGAATTTATAAGAACTTGGTTCAAATACAGGAGGTTCATCGTTCACATCCAAAACTGTGACTTGTATGACTGCTGAGTTTTTAGATTTCAAACCACCACCATCCGTAGCCTGGACTTCAAGTCGGTGAAAGTCCTTTGTTTCTCGATCAAGGGGTTTAATCAGAGTAATTATTCCTGTGGATGAATTGATGAAAAAGAGACCATCATTGTTCCTGTTTGAAAAAGCAAAATTGAGTTGTGAGAGGATGCCACTATCATTATCTTTGGCCATAACTGTAGCAATGACATCATCAATTGTCAGGTTTTCATAGACTGACACATCATATGTTGTCGGGTTTATAACTGGATAGTTGTCATTCTCATCCACAACAGAAATGTTCAAAATAGATTTATCAAAACGTCCTCCACCATCAGATGCCACAACATTAAACATGTACAGCGACTGAGCTTCAAAGTCAATCTGTCCTGAAGTGGAAAGAAGTCCAGTGTTTGGATTTATAGAAAAAGGAACTCTCCTGTGCTGAGTCTCCAGGGAGTAATGCACTATACCATTAATTCCACTATCAATGTCATTTGCTAAAACTTGTACAACAGAGGTATTATTGGCTGAATTCTCATTAACTGTTGAAGAGTACACAGCCTTTGTAAAGACTGGATTGTTATCATTAGCATCAGTAATGTTCACAATGACTGTACAGTTTGCACCTAAAGGGGGTACACCTGAGTCTGTGACAGTCACAAGGAACTCCAGTCTAGGAAATTTTTCTCGATCCAGCCTTGCACCTGTGCGAATCTCTCCAGTAGCTTGATCAATTTGGAACCAAGTTTTGTAAGGAGCAGCTTGTGGAGTGTAGGAGATATTATAAACTAATTTTGCATTTAAGCGTATGTCTTTGTCAGTTGCATGAGCTACCACAACACTTGTGCCGATGGTAGCATTCTCTGACACAACAGCAATAAACACATCTTGATCAAATTTTGGAGGGTTATCATTGATGTCTCCAACATTTAAGATGAATCCATCCTGTGTGGTTTGTTGAGGATCACCTTTGTCTTTAGCATAAATATAAACTGGAAAAGCTGGCTGTTTTTCTCGATCCAATTCTTTAGCAAGTGAAATAATGTTGACTTTATTTTGTGCATCATAGGCAATTCTTAAATGTCCATTTCCTCCTTGAATTGTCACAGACTCGATTTCTCCATTCTTACCAGCATCTTTATCAGTGACCCAAACGCGTGCCACTTCGGTTCCAACGCTAGCATCCTCGTAAACTTGATAAGCATCGTCTAGATAAAATGTGTAGGTGACCTCGGGCGAGTTGTCGTTCTCATCCAGAACATTGATTGTAACGTAGGCAGAATCTTGTTTGTAATATCCAAGTAAGCCTGGATTGTGTGCTAGCACACGAACCGAATAACTATCTTGTTTCTCGCGATCGAGGATTGCATGATTTAAAATGAGCCCCCTCTCAGTAGTCTGTAATATGAAATGAGAGTCGGGGTCTGAACTGGAATCATGAATAATGGCATACTCAACTTTTCCGTACCTACCAATATCTTTGTCAGTAGCGTACACTTCCACTATCGGTGTGAACGCTTTGGAGTTTTCGGTGATGTTAGCTTTGTATTTTTTTGGGTTAAAAACAGGATCGTTATCGTTCAAGTCCAGTACAGTAATATTGACTAAGCCGAAGCCAGTTTGTGGCGGTGTACCGCCATCCGCAGCAGACACAGTCAAACTGTAGAAATCGCGCTGTTCTCTATCGAGCTGTTTTCCAGGCTGTAATTCTATTTTTGCTCTCAAACGACCGACAGTGTCGATGTATTCTGTCAGAACGAACATGTTGTCTGTATTTCCAGAGACAATACTATAGTTCTGCACCGCATATGACCCAAGATCGTCATCGGCTGCTCTGACACGCACCACAACAGGGTTTCCTTCGTAAAATTTAAAATCGTAACCACTCATTGGAAAGGTTGGAATGTTGTCGTTTATGTCAGTGACATTTATAAAAATACTTATTATTTCGAATGGGTTCTGGATCAGTAGATCAATAATGTACACCGAAATCTTTTCGCGGTCCAAAACAATTTTTGTAGTAATGTTCTTGGAGATTGGATCCAAAATCAAGTCATCGTGAGGATAAACGTGAATTAGATTGTCGTATTGCTGGTTTGCTATACTGCCGACAAACGTTCCCTTTGGAAGTCCTTCAGTAACATTGAAATTATTATAATTTGTTATCGATGCACTGACGGAACAACGATGAAGACCAAACACACATGCTGTCCATAATATCGCAACGTAAAACCGCAATCGTTCAGTTTTAAATTGGCATGCATTCCGAAGAATACAAGTCCTTTGAGAATCATACATGGTGCATTTCCTCCCAAAACCCGGAAAAGAAGGCCACTTTACATCCTGCGTAGAATTTCTAAAGATTTCTGGAACATTTTAGGCGCATCCATAGGTCCTTGGGTAGAATTCTAAGCCTTGAGTTTACTAAACGACGCCATTAGCAGCTCGATTCGCCAGTCACCAACAATGGACTCGGGAAAGTAAACCGTTCGGCGCTTAGAACGACGAAAATAGCTTTGAAGATTTGAAGTTCACGAACAAATCCTCACAGAAACGTTCCTTACAACGGCCCGAGTGAACCTGAAATAACAATACGCTGCAAATTTCCCTCTTCAATCGTTGATTATTCAACTGAAATGATATTCAGAACTTCGGTCAGCGTTCGGTATGAAATGCAAAGGTCACGTGATAGAATTAGTTGTAACCAAATAGTTCGACACTTCAGTGGCTTTCTAGGATATGAAATGTCAGTGTGAAGAAAACATTATCGCCCGCCGTAAAACAGGCAAGTTTGCGAACAAGCGGCACTGTGTAGCCTCCAGCTGGGAATTTTTAACTTTCTTCATTCTGCGATCTTGATTTTCTGTTTGGATTGTCTAGGCAAAATAGCACTATTCCCAAGAGAGAGGACCGTTACAACACGACGAATGACAGATGTTAATGGCTTTTCCGCCAGGATAAATATGGAACAGAGAGCAATTGAGTAGTTTAACAATACAAGTACATCTTTCCAAACATATCTTGACGAAAGAAGAATTTCAAACCACTCTATGAAATGAGTTACCCCGTTGTCAGATATATATAATTGTTGGCCATTAGCTCACTCAAAAAAATTATTTTTATTTCGGTAAATTCTTGACGCATCACAAAACAAAAGCTGTCAAAACAAGGCCTCTTATTGGCTGCAACGGCCTTAAATCGATTAATTGGCTATGTGAATCATGAATTACATTGTTGCTTAACAACAGTTGAAAGAATGTACAGGAAATACAGAGAGGTGAGCAAAGTTGGTGGGTAAATATTCAAATTACATGTGCACTTGCGGTTAAAAATCGAAAAGCATTCGGTAATAATTCGGTAAGAGGGCTTTGTGTTAGCTGATACTTGATATTTCACCGTGGAAATTCCACCTAATCCAAAACATAAATATGAGTGTATTGCCTGAGGGCTCCGAGGTGAAAACTAACTCGACAGGTAACCGCGACATGTTGAATTCTCTTGGCCAATTGACCTCCTTGGCAACATATGGACGCAAATAAGCGCTTTATTTTTTTATCTAACTGTTCCTTGTTTGGAAGAGAGTCATCATTCATGACATTTAGATACATTGCATGTTCGGTTTCCCATGTAGAGCATTAAGATACCAGCAAATTTAATCTGATATTTACTATTTACTCACAAGTTTATGCTCTGAAGACCATCGCGATTTTCTATATAAAACCGTGCACTACCTTGGAAGTGAGTTGTAATTATGCAATAATGACTGCAATCTTTTAATTAAAAAATAAATTCGCGCCATTTTATTGAATTCTTCTGAGACATTTCATTGTTACACAGGATGAGAACTAAAGTTTAATATGTAAATAACATCGGCAAAAAAAGGTATTGGCCGTACCCGTTTAACAGTTTGTAAGGCCTCCGGCGATAGAAATCAATATTGATCTTTTTCTCTCCTTGAAACAAATGCCGTAATTATCAAAACACAATTTATTAATGATGTTTTGTGATCTAAACCCCTTGTAAGAATTTAAATGAAGATGGGCTAACAGAATGAATTTTCAATCTCTATGCATAATAAACTACAGTAGAACTTACCATCTAAATAAATGGTGCTAAAAAAAATCCCTTTAAATTCATTCCTTTATTTATTTCTGAACAGCTGCAAAAGTGCTTTGATTTTAGCTGTCCGTGACATTCAAAAACCGAAAAGCCATATATGTAAATCGAAAGGAGCCGGTCAAAAGCGATCAATCTACGAATCTACGAACAATCTACGAACGCAATATATTCGCTATATATACATATATATTCGTATTTAAGTTCTCTACGGATCTATTCCGTAAATTAGACAAACGTCAGAACTAAAGAGCGTCTTAGCCAAATGCAACTTGGCTTTCGCATTAACCGTGGAAATTTTAGTGGGAGGAAGTTATAAAGCGGCATATTTTTACATGAAACATGTGCATTTTCAATCAGGAGTTACCGCGGCACTTAGAATAACCAATTTATCACGATGACATAGCGAGTTCTTCTCGGCATGCGTGATGCGTCGAAATTATTGGCGTCATCTCAAAATACCGCCAAAATCCCATTTAGTGGCTCAGTCATATAACAGGAGCGAGTTTGTCACGCGAAGCGAAAAATTTACGTTTTTGATTGCATTCGGGCTGTGATAAAGCGCGTAAATTTACCATCAAACCATAATACCTCACTGAAGCTTAAGAGCTACAAGAACATAAAAAGGGAGTTAAAACCGCGGAGGAAACACCCTCTGAATATTGATCCTTTTACACTTCTTGAGGAGTATTGTCCGAGGGCAGAAGTCACCTTGATGAAGTTTTATGAGCTCGCACCTATCCCGAGACATCTGTTATGATTTAAATTGTGCTTAAATCTGCAGACAAAAGAAAGCTGCCAGTCAGTTTTTGCTCAGTTTTGAGAGTTTAACAGTAGGGATTAATCTATCAAACGCCGGCGACGCTGAGAAAATCCTTAGTAAATTAAAAATTGAAGCAGTAATTTCCGCCTTTCATAGGTAATAATATTTTCTGCCTCGCGTTGTGAAGCGACCTTCGAATAAACTTATGTTTGTATCAGTGAATGAATCTAGTGTAGACAGCAGTATAATGAGGACTTTTTCTTTTCGTCAGACCTGGAGACAGCAACTATCTTAAAAAGTTATTGAAAATATAACTCCGTAAGGTGGAGCAGTGGCCAAAACTTTCTGATTTTCCGTTCGAATCGAATCCATTGAGTGAGCATTAATGAAACAGAAGAACGTAAGTGAGCAGACAATTTTCGCTTGCCGGATTTCTGCTCCGAACTTTTTCCGCACTGCGTTGAGCAGGGACTGTAGATTAATAGATGTTAAATAACGAGACTCCCTGAAGTTTACTTTTGGAGCAAAATCGTACAACGTTTCTGTGAATATCACTTAATCAGAAAAATCCGTCATCCGTCTTTACAGCGATCACAACAAAACATTCCCAGCAGCGAAAATAGCAGCATTTTCTGGTTTTCGCATTTCGGGAAACCAAAGGAAACCAATGTCCAAATCTCAAGTGAGTAACGACAAGAAGAAAACCCACAATAACAAACTTGGTTTTTTTTTTACCCCAAGTCAAGCATAACGCCGGAAAACCAAGTCACGTCTGTGTTGAGTGAATTGAGAGTGATATACTACTGCTTTAAATGTGATTGGCTTACCAGTTCTATTAAAACAACCGACAAAGCTCAAGAAAGATTTTGTAAAGGTAATTAGCATAAAGCTCCGGAGAAACACTCAAACTGAACGAGATATCTTTTTTCGGTCGGACATGCCGCCCTTCTAACATCTATTACAGGAAATTGAGCCAGCAGAAGCTTTGCGTGAAGGGCGATCGATCCGCGGTGTAATTTTCATCGAATATCTTGAAATCAGTGAAGAGTGCACTCAGTTCGAATCAGAAACGTGCCGGGAATTTTAATGAAAATTAAAGTACTTAAATTAATTCGAAAGAGTATCCAAATGTGAAGAGGCAATTAAAGATATGCAACGTTATTAACATGCCAAGACTTTATATATAGAAATACAGCCAAGATTCAGAAACTTTACAGTATGATTAATGGCTTTTCGCTGAGTACACCCTTAGGTAATCCTGAATCACTCTGACTTGCCGAGTTGTTTTTAATTTATATTTTTATTTTGCCCCTCGCGCCAAATTGCGAAAACCACCTCTTTTTTTTAGCTTCGGGGAGGATCTGTACTAATTACATTTGAAGCCAATTCCTTTCTGGTACAACTGGGTCAAAAATATGCATTTCCGTTATTTCCGAACACCCATATTTCTCCCAACCGAGCAATATTTTCCACTTGTCACCACCTGAAACAGACGGAAGCCCAGTGATCTCAATTACAAACTAAAACCAAAAACAATTAAAAAAAACAAAAAAAAACAATTGAGGTGTAGTTATTTTCAAAAAAAAAAAAAAAAACAATTGAGGTGTAGTTATTTTCAAAAATTAATAATGGTTTCGTCTTGGACTCACGAGTATAAACTTCGTTTAATTTACGGAGGCGATTAAATTTGTGTTAAATAGTAGTCAAATACAAGATAAATTGGAGAGATATAAGTAATCTCTTCATGTTGACCTGTATCCAAGTAACACCTGCATATACTGCTTGATGCAGTACAAGGTCGAAATCCGGCATGAAGGACAAAAACAGCTCGTTCGGTTTTGATATTCAAATCGCTTTCTGAACAATGCTAGTCGATCGACGCGCGCCCCTGATTTCGTTCAGTATGACGAACTACAAAAGTTGCTTTTGATAATCGACACAAACCTAAACGGCGAATTAAGATAAAGCTTTGGAAATGTTCACAAGGCAATTATGACAATTTAAGTCTTGGATAGGTCACAACTGCAAGGATACACCAAGATTGAGAACCATAACAGAGAAAATGGAGATAAACTGAATTGAAGATAAAACTGGAAGAAATTGGTACAAGCGCGCAATTCATTATGGCTGGCTAGGATCCCTGATGCAACTTGTTTAGGTTCTCTGTATTATACAATGTTACTCTTGTTGCATTGCATACATTTAAATGCTTCTAGCCTTTCATTTGCCGCTCGTTTAATTCTAAAATCTAAATATTCTTCTCAGTTTTTATTTACAGAAAATAGTTTACCGAAAGGAAGGCGATCATACAGTATTGATACAGTATTGTCTATTAAATACTTTTTGTAGTGAAACATATGCCAAAATACGTATTCTCTGTAAAGGTAAGTCTTTCGAAGTCACGCGTCAAAATGCCATCTTATACAACAGCATATCCTAGTTTCTTTTTTTTTCGATCTGGTGGGCCGCAACCAGGCCTCTGTATGAAGTTCGATGGTTTGAAGTCTTGAAAAGGGTAAACCTTCCTCCGGTTACGCGATTTCTTTACTTTCTGTTGAGGGGGATGTTTTTATCGATCGTTCATCGCAAAAAAATTCAAAGAAGAGTGAGGCATAAACATATGGCGTTCTTCACTGTTTGGCTAATTCTCCGCACACAAAATCAGGACGAAAACAGGTCAAAAAATTAGTTTGCGTGATCAGAAATCTGACTGACAGCCTCCTAAGTCTGCTGTTATTAAAACAAGGGATGTCGTAAGAAGATTATAGTACTGAGTGCGTGATCGAGCTTTTAATAACAGGATTAAACAATAGCATGATTACACTTATATTTCTAAGCCTGTACGTCTACTAGATATAGTGAGGAGTTAGTAAGCAGACAGAGAGGGGATTAGTTCATGCTCATTCTTAAATTTCCACAAATATGCGTTCTATGCGATTAGAGGGCGTGTAGGGGGCAGAGCTGTACTCCAGGAGTAATGTTATGTCGGGGATTATTTCAGGGTGACTCTCATATTCCTTTAGATAAAGGTTTGTGGTTGGATTAAGAGCAAGTGGTGGGCCGGACTGTTGTCTTGAACTTGTATTGTGGACTATTTAAGGAGCAAAATTAAGATCTATTTTGACGGGACTTCTGTCAAGCCTAATCTCAAATGTCTTCAAAGCTCTTGTCGGATTTCGCTTTGGGGAAGCCTGTTCAAGTTTCGGTGTGGCGATTGTGGCCGTGAATAGAGAACGAAAAAGTTCTGATATTGCTGTGGACTTTTTCAGGATCAAAATAAAAATGTTTTGACGTGACTTCTAAGCCTAATCTCAAATGTCTTCAAAGCACTTGTCGTGTTCCGCGTTGCAGAAGCTTAAGTCAGTTCGGCGGTTTCGATCGTAAAATGATAAAGTTTGTTTGGTAGAGCCATGAAAGGAATATGGAAAAACAAAAATGTTGCCCTTTTCGCAGGAGCACGCAACTGAGAGTGTTGTTTCAAGAATCGCCGATCCCAAACAGAAAACAGAATAAGAGATTACTCCTCGCTGAGATGTGCTGCAATATTTCTCGAAAAATACCGGATGTACGTTAACTTTCTCATTTACGCTATGAGCACCGAAGGATTCGGACATAATCCCAGTAAGATCATGTCCCGACAAGTTCGAGTCGATAACAGTTTCTTTTCCTTGTTAGTTAGTTCTTGTATTTTTGCTTTATGAATTGATGGCCGTCCTGCGTGTATTAAACAGAAATCCTTGAAAATTTTCCGTGATGAATATCATACCAGCTAGGGTTTTTTTCCAGCGGGTTCCATTCAGCCAGTGTAAACAGCTTTTTTTAGGATCGGCTCCGTCACTGAACATTGGTTATCCAATCTGTCAGTCGATACAGATTTGGGTTGATTGCAAAGCAAGTCAGAAACTCCTAC